TTGGAAGTGCACAGTCAACCTACCCGACGCCAGTTTTTTGCTGGCTTGAGAAGTATGAAACAAGGACGATGTATATTGTGTTATTATTTTGGGACCAGTTTTATCATTCTCATTTCATATGGTACTTGAGTAGTATAGGATTCGCGCAAACATTATTGAATGTAGAAAATGATGATCTCATTTCAAACATATATTTCTTTTCACTTTGACTGATCGCGACTCGCTTAACAGTTATCACCGTCTGGCGAGAGGAAACCCTTTCTCTATACAGGGAAAACCAAATTTGTCTAACGGCTTGAGTACAATGTATACGAGAGGGAAACGCGAGAAGTGTATATCAACACATGTTAGGAAGAGATAGAAGTCGGCTGAAAAGCGAAGGTCATCACCACTTGCCTAGCGAAGGTGACACAGAAGGTCATACAATCTGCCGCGTTGCCAATATGTTACACCAAAAAATGTTCGCACAGGCTTCTACAATAGGTTAGGCTACTGTCAAACCTAAGAAGGAGGTCTGTTCGAATATTTATTTTAATATTTTCATTTCCACAGGTGATAAAATCAGCACATTCTGAGTTACTGCTCGCTGTCGCAAAATGTAACAACTAACATTACGCAATACCAATTCTCACTGCCTACGGGTATGCAGTTGAAAACCATTCGAAGCAAGACGACACTCCCCAATGAGCGGTAGAAGGGTGCTGACCAAAATTGCTCATCTATCATCATGCCTTGGAATTTACGAGATGCGGTGTTGCCAAGCGAACCAATGATATAATGTTGCAGGTGATCCTGATCTTTCATTTCGACCTAAAATAGAGCGCCATTAGGACCGATCCGAAAGCGATCCTAAACGGATTCGGCACAATTCACAAGTCAAAAATGTGTAAGTTCAAAATAAAACCATTATTTGGGCGTAGAGAATAAACTAACGCATATTTTCAACTTGCATCTGAATTTAAGGAAGTGGTGTAATATATTGGCAACGCGGCAAATTGCCGCGTAAGCGTTGCGAGGCAACGCGGTGATGAGCTTCAAAATCCAGCCGGTTCTATCTCTTTCTAACATATATGTCTATACACACTTCTCTCTCGTACAGATTGAACTCAACGCGTTAAAAAAATTAGGTTCTCAGTGTATACATACAAGAGGAAATGTATTCCTAAAAATTCATACGTCCATCGCTAGCGGCGATTAATTAGCGAGCGATCCTCGAGCAAGACCAATAAACTGCTCGGTGTTGCCCGCTCATTTATTTACGCGATATAAGAGCCCTATAAGATTAGCGATGGAGCAGCTAGAGCGAGCCGGCGAGGGCATCTAGCGGCAAAAAGACAAACAACTTAATTGCATTTTTTGCACCCTGCCCCTTCTCTCTATCTCCCCGCTCAGACCTTTTATCTCTTCCCTGTCTGAAGTTAAATACACTACGGTGTTGTTCATTCAACTGTGAATTCATCCGGATCGCAGTGGAGTAGTTCGTCCAGTTTTGTAACGATAGAAAATCTTGAAAACTATCACCTTTCTCTTTGTTTACACTGTTTTTCTTCAAGGTTCGGTCTCAAGATCTAATTATTGTAACTACACAAGTGTACATTTCGGGAGGGTTATAGAGACGTGGATTTATCATGTTCAGGAAAGCTTACGTAGCATTTAAAGTATTGCCGAAAATGAGCAGGCCAAATAAATGTTCTAAAAATCCAACAATGTTACTGTTATTGACTAATATATCTGTTTCTCAGAAAAACAATAAATTATCAGATCTCTAGGTACAGCAAGGGTGAAAGGCACGGACTAGTCCATAAAAGTCGATATTTTTGTAAAAAGCGGAGGAAAATCATCTGTAGGTCTAATAAAATGTTTCTGGGCTAGTTCTGTAATTTACCAACAGATGACAGCTCGGGAATGTGTCTGCTGTATACGAGGTCTGTAATGAGACAGGCAACATAGCGTACGATCTGGCAACACTGGAGGTGCTGGGCTTGGAGGGGAGGCAGAGGAACACGTGATTGCTTTCAGAACGAGTTTTAAACTCGCTCGACTCATGGTTGTACTCAGCGAGTTTTTTATATGAAACAGTTTTTTCTACTGTGTTCTAAAAATGAGTGACATCAACTTCGAACAAAGATGTGCTCAGATTGTTTTGCTTTAGACTTGGGCGTAGTGCAACCGAAACTCTTGCTAAACTCCTACGGAGATAGTGTTTTTGTAAATAGGCCATGTTTCGTGGTGGTCTAAGGTATTTTCACAAAGCAGAGAGTAGATTGAAGATGAACCACGAAGCGGGAGGCCTTCACCTTCAAGAATCGATGAAAATATCGACAAAACCCGGGATCTTGTGCGTTCAGATGATCGGTTGACAGTCAAAATTATCCTGAAAGAGTTAGATTTGACTCACATCACCATTGATCAGATCAAGAATAACTGCGTGTTACATCACGATAATGCTCCTTGTCACAAAGCAATGTCAATAAACGAGTTTTTGGCCAGTAAAAACATTTCTGTGGCTCTTCAGCTTTCTTGTTTGCCTGACTTGAGCCCTTGTAACTTTTTCTTGCCCGAAGTTGATAAATCTTTAGGTGAAAACTTATTTTGGGACAGTCGAAAACATTCACACTGACCAGCTGAAGGCTATTCCAGTATCTGGGCTCCAGCACTGCTATGAGGGATAGAAGATCCGTCTCCAGCGCTGTGTGGCTTCAGAAGGAAATTATTTTGAGCGTGAAAATATAAAATTGTAATTATATTTGAATAAAAAAAATTAAAATCACAAAGTAGTGTGCGGAGTTTCCTTGTCGCCTTTATTTTACAACAATTTTATTTAGTGGTTTGGTGCTCGCTTAACTGCCTCTGTCAGCAACTTCACCATTAACGAAAGGTTTGGGCAAATAGCTGATATTTTACCTGAAACTTGGAAAAGCACTTAAAAAAAACCGTAAATACACTTCAGCAAGTTTATGTTGACGAAGCGGTGATTATTTTTAATTTTTTTTTAATGACATTGCCGATTTTAACTGGCGAGAAAGTCCAAACCTTTTTTGTGCATGCTAAAATCACCGATAGAGGAAATCATGAGAGCAGAAGCACAAAAAATTAAATTCTTGTAAAATAAGAGCGACGACGATACTTCGGATATTGCTTTGTGAGGTGATTTATACAGGATCAGTATCAAGCTGCCATGCCATCCAGAGTTAATCCGGCAACTCCTCTCATCGAAAAAATGTTCCGATTCGATTGCTTGCATAATCATATTTAGAAAGAACTCTTTTTAATGAACCTGCATTTGCCAGCGCCAAACGTGCATAAACCATTGTTGAACATTTTTTAAGCCAATTTCTAACTCCGTTTTAGGTCAATTTAAGCCAAAATTACCTTATGAACTTTTATCTAAAGTTGATAGTTTTCGAGATGAAGCGATTTAAAATTTAAAAAAGTGTGAAATACTTTAGGCACAGAAAAAAATATGAAAGATCGAAAATTCTGTTGCGCAATTTGTAAAATGGCAATGGTTTTTAAGGATATCTTTACTCTAAATCTTTGTTTTTAATTATCAACTAGCTTTTAAAAGTTAAAAACCAAGCGCGAGCTTTTTTCTATTTTTTTGCCTCTAGCTTCGCTGCCACTAGTTAATTATCTTACAAATGCTTACAAATATACATTGCCTAATATTAGCTGGCTACCCCAGCTTCTAAGACATATTTGTAAGAAACCCATAAATTTCGGAATGTCAAAGCTGCGGATTGCGGTCTCAAAAATGGTTAGAGTTACAGTGCTGGTTAAATGATGAGAAAGTTGCGTGATATAAATACCCTCTGAATGAAGTTATCTTAAAAAAATGTAATTTTGAAAACTTTCGGATAAGATAGCGAGTTATATCCGACAAATTGTGTATACCATGGCACTTGCGCGTTATCTACTTTCATCTTTTCCATACCTTAGAAATGACTGTTGTGATCATTTCAGATTAAGAGCCACTCAGAAATGTTAGCGTTTTTGTGGAAAACACTTGGCAACACTGCCCTGGCTGTGCTGTAATTGCTTTCGAAAGATAAACACCGCAAAACCGTTAGTACGACTAATACGGCTACCGCAGCCCCAATATATTTGTATGTTTGTACGTGTGTATATATACAAAATCCAATTTATTTTTAGTTTTCTGTTGGGAATTCCAATCCATGTTGGTGCGAGCACAACCGAAAATAAAGTCACATACTGTCGTGGTTTATGATGTTCCAATTCCTATGTATAAACACAAATAAGTTCAGTCTAACACACGAATCGATATGAGATGTGAGGAATGGTCAAGCATGCTGCTAAAAACTTTGCCGCAGCGTGAACATACACTGACATTCACTTCTGATACAGACATGTTCTGAGAAACTGAAGCATACACTTAGTTATTAATGTATCTTGAGACGAACGAATTTTGAAAATAATGATAACTTTGGAAGTATGAAAATTGAGAGGTTTCTGAAAACTTTGATAAACCAGAAAATACAGGAAACCCAGTAAATTTTGGATAGGTATTTAGTTCATTTTAAAAATCTTGGATATTTTGAAGATTTTAAACATTTTAAAAATTTTTAAAACTAAAAACTTTGTAAATTTATGAAAATTTTGAAGAAAGTAGTGGAAATCCTGAGCATTTGGGGATTTAAAAAAATGTAGATTTTTTTGAAAATATGGAAGGTTTTGATCATTTTGAACATTTTGAGAATTACTGAGGTTGCAGTGTTCGAACATTTTGAAGATCTGAAGAATTCCTGAAGCGCAAAATGTTTGAAACGATGAAATATGCTAGGTAGAAAATTTGTTCGTCAAGCTTTGTAAACTTGATTTATAATTTTTTGACCACTACAAATCTCCATAAATGTTAGAAACGAATTACCCTTTAGAACCAGATGTTTACCCCTTCTGTATTCGGTAAGATCAGGTATCGGTTTACAATTCAGCTCTAAATACTGACATGATCGAAGTGCATTTTGAATTCGATATCTTACCTTGCACCCTGTCTGCCCTGGAACCACTGGGTGCTGCAGTACCGCGACTTTCTAGAACACTAGCCTTTTGTGGCCGTTCCCCTTCAACACTTTCTTCGTTGCTGACCAGATACAGTGTGGCTATTGTGGCCAGACACTTCAACTTCATGTTGCCACGTTTGAAATGCTTGTGTCGCACTACGAACTCCAGGCCTAGGATGGAGGTTTCCAAACCTTCTCGACCTGAAAAAAAAATTATTTTTCAAGTTTTTTTATAATGTTTTGAAGATAGTATCCATCCAGATCAGATCCTCTTGGGGAATCTGATCCCAGGCTACTTACTACCTTGCGACTCTGGAGTCTATGGATGATGGGGTAAAATGAGTGATTTTCTTCCCATAATATCCCAGACGGGATCAATGGGTGAAAGATCTGGAGACCTAGGGGCCTAGGAAACAAATCGACTTGAGTGTCTTCAATGTAATTCTGGCTATATTTGGTGGCGCATTATGTTGTTGAAAAAGTGGGTTGGTGAATATCCGTATATAAGGCAAAACAAGTACAAAGGTGCCCTGCTCCTTTAGGCAATAGACTCCAATACCGTAGTTCCAACAGAGTGATGCAAATGCGTTTCCGCAGAAACTGGGAGTCTCGTTCTTTAGCTCGCCGCCGTCTTATCCTTGCGCGAACACCATGCATCTCCAAGAATCTGGATACATCACTACTACCTTCGAGGTGCAAGTTCAGCTGTCCTTTGCACCTCGGTGCCTATGAATGAGGGGTGAGGAAGATATGAAGCAGGTACAAAATAAGTGCGCATTGTAATATCCTTTAAGTGCTCTCCAAAGCATTGGTACGTTCTATGCGAGAAGTGGTTCGGTAGAACCAAAAGCCTAAGGCGGCAATCTTGCTGTGGGGAACGCCCTGTATCTCTAACTGTTCATAATACGACCTATCTGATTCCATGCATGACAAGAGACTACCACCGTATTTAGACTTCTGTGCACCCTGGTGACTATTTCTCTAAAGGACCAATCAGCCTTACACAAGCCCACTATTCGCCCTCTATCAAACTCGCTAATCTGTTAAACATTTTCTCGTCTTTTTATTCTAGGCATAAGGACCATATTAGAGCAGCCCGTCACAACGTATTGTGGGATCATCAAATGCAAATTGTAGAAACAAAACACAACAATTCCTTACTTACTTTTTTGTGAAAACAGATGATTTCACAAACACCGTTTACCGAAATAGTTGAAAAGCTAATCGTTTCTTGTTCTAGCCTCAACAAACTTAGGCTTAGAGAATTTTTCTAATAACTTGATTACTCCGGGTGTTCCTTGTTCTATATCACCCTATGTAGCGCGAGAAGCGTGCAATATGTATGTTAGAAAGAGTGCACGGATGGCATCTGTGACCTCGTACTCGGGTTGCTGGCAACGAGGTGTTTCTATCTCTTTCTAACACACGTATTGCACGCTTCTCGGGCATCTCTCTCTCTCCTAAAGATTACGACGTCAGTGCTATTTGGTTTTCAGTGCATTGGGTGATTTTCTAGTGTGGGGTTCGTCGATGGCTCCGTGATTATGCATATGATCTAAATATCTTAATTACAAAAATTGCGCCTTACCTGGCAATTATTTTTATCTCTACAGCAATTCGATATTACATACTCTAGGGTTATAATTCCTAATTGTGGAGATATGAGACAAACTATTGAAAAAAAAACATTCAACTTGGGAATCGCCCCTCCGCAAACGTTAGAGTTAGGGTACCGAATTTTCCACCAGAAAAATTTCATGATTATATCGTTTGTTCCTACGTTATTACTTTTAAGGTCCTTTGGACGGTTTATACAAGGTGGTCAAGAATGCAGGGTGAACGATTTACCTCAAAATTCTTAAATTGAACACCCTGTATATCTTCACATTTCATGATTCCCCATTCTACAAGATCTTTTTGATATGAGGTTTATGGATGTTTGTACGACAGGTTACTGAGTTACAGCTGACATTTTTGTAAATCATATATCAGGGTCAACGAAAAATATCACAATACCTTTCAAAATAGAAAATGGTAGGTGTTTAGTTGGTGACGAGAAATCCTAGAGATCTTTAAAATTACTTCATTTTATACATCAGAAAAAACACTGGTGAAATGTGAAAATATACGAGGTGTTGCGTTTGAAAATTTTGAGAAATAGTTTGTTTTGTTTTATTGACCACCCTGTATGAAATCTTCAAGAAACTGAGACTAGGATAGAAGTGACACGGTATGGGTTCATAAATCGTTTTGACGAAAGATTCAGTACTCTGGCTATAACAAATCCAGGGATGCCTATCGTCAAAGTTGAGTGTTTTTTTTTTTTAGATAGAGTGTCCAATATCGGAACAATTTCACGCTGTAGAAATGAAATTTCCGTCAGAAGCAAACAGTTCGCTAAAATTCTTGTATTCAACTTCTTTAATTACAACGCGTAAAACGGAGTTATCGACAAAGCCCACACTAAAAACTCACAACGTATATGGAACACTTTTTTATAAAATGTACTTTATCAATCCGTACTCCTTAAAATTTGGAAAAATCATATTTGACTCAAGTGTCCCTTTTTGAAAAAGCTGTTTCTCCCAAGCTAGAAATTCAGTGAAAAAATTCAGAGCAGTACAAGATAATGTCAAAGTTCCTCTTCTCGAAATCAAAAAACGTTTATTGATACTTCTTCTTTCAGCCTCAGATCATTATTTCCTTTGGCGCTACGCGCCTCAGGTTATAAAAGTGCTCGACCAAAGATGGGCCACTTTTCATACTAGGTGAGTAATAACATAACTATTAACATTCAGTGACCATGTATGCCTAATATTGTTTGACGGAGGGACCGTTTAGTTCCATGGTCACCTGTACCTGACTAATACAGATAATGTCACTGTGTTTCTACAGCCATGCTTTTTTGGATAATGAAATGGCTCAGAATTAGCCGAAGCCCGTTAAAAGCAACCGACCATTACTGCCCTGTGCTATGTCCCGTTACTCTCGCAATGCTGTCGTTGGAAAATTAAATTCTGCATCTGCAAAAAACACCAGGCTTGCTGCGAGCTCAATGTCATACTAAAAGTAACATATAACGAAAATACACACAATCTGTTGTTTCAAAGTGAAGCAGATATGCATTTTGAATCGGCGCATCTCTTTTCCATTCTATACGGGGTGATGTACAATACACATAATTTTTAATGGCAAACTTCGGCATATTACCAAAAGAACTGATTTAAATTTTGTATAAAATTGAATGCCTTAACTTACTTAATCTTAGCAATACAGGTAGGTGTTTCAGAAATATCAGTAGCGTATAATATTTCAGTTTCTACGTCTCTGGTACTCGTATAGTTAGAGACAAAACATTTTTTTTACACATTATGTTCATAATGTTTGACCGAAATTTTAATTAGATGCCTCCATCCTTATTTTGTAATTACAACATTTTGGGTGTCATTTATACGAAATTTTTGTGTTATTTTCAAACTCTTTCTGTGTTAGAAATGTTGCCAGTGTTTGTCAACTCTCCCTGCATAAGCCCCCAAAGTGAAGTGCAATAATTTCTGCTCTGTAAAGTAACCGTTTTAGTTGTTTTTAATTCTCACCGTCATGTTTCTCTTCTGCGCAGTGATTGAAAATATCACAGACATACTGAAATCCTTGATACAAAGCAACTTAACATGAAGTGCTAAAATGTGCACAAATATTGGTTAAAGTTTATTTAATAATTTTGTTTGTCATTGTTTCCTATGGATTCATCTATTGCATAAAACCCTCATCGAATAAAAACAATTTTTTTCATATTTAAAATTTTGACGTTCTTATTTTTTCAAAATGTTTAAAAAATATTACGCAGTTGTAATGTGGTGATTGAAGTGACTGGTACTGTATTTGAGAATAGTTAACGCCGTCTCTAATATTATACAGGGTGTCCCAGATGTCGACGTCAAGCCGAAACCGGGTGATAGGCAAAGTCATAACAGCTATCAGAAAAATATTTAAAAAAATTTTATGTATGTGTTTTGAAACTTATAGGTCTTCGAAAAAAATATAGAAATTTCACACCCTACGGCAGTCTGTCACCTCCTGTTACTACAAATATTAACTTGTTTTGGATTTTATTTTTACAACGTAATGATGAATAATGCATCTGCAAACTGGTATCTCAACCTTACTGCCAACTTTTCTCGTTCAGGAAAAATTGCCACTTATTTCCCAACCAAGTATTCCAAAGTAAAACTTTGCTCAACTTTAACTGGCTGTACTGGAAAAAAATGTACTACGAGAGTTTGGCAAGTAACCTTAAAAGTTGGCGCCTTTAATAAGGATTCCAAAATGGTATAACACTTAGAAGATTACTCGTTAACTTATGCACAATTTTTATTTGAAGAAAAACTGATGAAAATTTTTCAAAATTTCCTAATTAAACAGCGATTATGAAAACGCACAAGGACCCTTAAGGATAACTGTTTGCACAACAGTGGGCGTCAAAATGCTGCTGATGATAATTTACCTTTACAGCAAATGCTCAAACTGTTTTCCTTCAGCCGCAATACACGCTCGACATCTTCTTAAAAAAGATCGGGTTATTAAACGAGCGAATCCACGGTTATTAACAAACTCAGCTGCTTCCAATAGTCTTTGCAGTAGCTCAGCTACATTTTGAATCGGCTTGAAATACACTTTTTCTTTTACAGTTCCCCAGTAAAAAAAATCTAACGGATTCAAATCTGGTGATCGGGCTGGCCACGGTACTGTACCAGACCGCCCTATCCATCTGCCTGGAAAGTTTTGATCGAGATACTCTCTCACTGAGAGTGCATAGTGCGCTGGGCAGCCATCATACTGAAACCACATGTCCCTGTAAATACTCAGTGGCACGTCCTCCAATAAATTTTCTAAATGATTTTGCAAAAAACCTAAATAAACCTCAGCAGTCAAAGTCTCTTGGAACTCAAGCGGACCGATTATTTTACCATTTAAAATTCCTGTCCAATGGTTTATCTTGAAGCGATATTGAGATTTATCTTCTCTCATCAAATGTGGGTTTGCTACGTGCCACTCGTATAAGTTATGCAGGTTCATGTACCCATCTTTCTTAAATGTGGTCTCATCTGACCATAAAATTTTTTCAAAGAACCGTGGATCTTCCCTGTGTCTTTCTAACATTGTGCGACAAAAAGCAACTCGGGGCTCATAATCCCGGGGCAGAAGAGCTTGAACACGCTGTACGTGGTATGGATGGAGCACGTTTTTTTGCAAGATTCTATACCACATACAGCGTGTTCAACCTCTCCTGCCCCAGGATTATGAGCCCCGAGTTGCTTGCTTTTTGTCGCACAATGTTAGAAATACACAGGAAAGATCCACAGTTCTTTGAAAAAAAATTATGGTCGGATGAGACCACCTTTAAGAAAGATGGGTACATGAACCTGCATAACTTACACGAGTGGCACGTAGCAAACCCACATTTGATGAGAGAAGATAAATCTCAATATCGCTTCAAGATAAACCATTGGACAGGAATTTTAAATGGTAAAATAATCGGTCCGTTTGAGTTCCCAGAGACTTTGACTGCTGAAGTTTATTCGGATTTTTTGAAAAATCATGTACAAAATTTATTGGTGGACGTGCCACTGAGTATTTACAGGGACATATGGTTTCAGCATGATGGCTGCCCAGCGCACTATGCACTCTCAGTGAGAGAGTATCTCGATCAAAACTTTCCAGGCAGATGGGTAAGGCGGTCTGGTACAATACCGTGGCCAGCCCGATCACCTGATTTGAATCTTTTAGAGTTTTTTACTGGGGAACTGTAAAAGAAAAAGTGTGTTTCAAGCCGATTCAAAATGTAGCTGAGCTACAGCAAAGACTATTGGAAGCAGCTGAGTTTGTTAATAACCGTGGATTCGCTCATTTAATAACCCGATCTTTTTTAAGAAGATGTCGAGCGTGTATTGCGGCTGAAGGAAAACAGTTTGAGCATTTGCTGTAAAGGTAAATCATCATCAGCAGCATTTTGATGCCCACTGTTGTGCAAACAGTTATCCTTAAGGGTCCTTGTGCGTTTTCATAATCGCTGTTTAATTAGGAAATTTTGAAAAATTTTCATCAGTTTTTTTTTCAAATAAAAATGGTGCATAAGTTAACGAGTAATCTTCTAAGTGTTATACCATTTTGGAATCGTTATTAAATGCGCCAACTTTTAAGGTTACTTGCTAAATTCTCGTAGTACATTTTTTCCAGTACAGCCAGTTAGAGTAGAGCAAAGTTTTACTTTGGGATACTTGGTTGGGAAATAAGTGGCAATTTTTCCTGAACGAGAAAAGTTGGCAGTAAGGTTGAGACACTAGTTTAAAGATGCATTATTCAACATTACATTGTAAAAATAAAATCCAAAAAAAGTTAATATTTGTAGTAACAGGAGTTGACAGACTGCCGTAGGGTGTGAAATTTCTGTATCTTTTTCAAAGACCTATAATTTTCAAAACACATACATAAATTTTTTTTAAATATTTTTCTGATAGCTGTTAAAACTTTGCCTATCACCCGGTTTCGGCTTGACGTCGACTTCTGGGACACTCTGTATGTGGTACTGAGCTTAACTTTCAAATTAATACAATCATGTTTTACCATACATATAAATCACTCTCAGAAATGTAAACAACAGTTCAATTTTTCTTAGATCTAAATGTGATTCTACTTGTATTTACATACGGAATATCGGATAATAGTTGTACCAGTCTTTTTTTCCTACAAATACTCTGGCTTTGTCAATACTATTACTCCATTTCGTTATGTTACAGTTTATGTGTGAGCACCGTAACGCAAAATATACCGCCATTAGTCATTTCCCGTATGTTTTTTATTTGTAATAAAATGTCTCATTAAAATGTTACTTTTCAGTAAGTCCCAAGAGCTTTGCACAGTTCGAAGCTTCAGTAGCAGGAAGGACACAAAATCCGTTTTACCTTCATTCAATTGTAGCTTTTTGCGCTGACACCAGCCACTAAACCCATCTACAACATAAGCTTGTTGCAGTATCACCGATAATATTTTCTCTTTTCTTCATTGATTATTCATCGACATTTTGTTCACACGTTTTGCGTAAATAATGTTTTTGTATGCTCCCTATTGCTTTTAGAATTCACAATCCTTCAAGTAGCAGTAGATCTTCAGTTTTCAATCGGCTTTCCATGAATCTGAAGTCCTCAATAACACTTTTAGTGGTGCTTTTAGTTAACGCTAGCAAAAAACCGTCTACCTTATGCCAGGAACATACCTTTCGGCTGTTTACGCAAACTATTTCGCGGTGGTGGAGTCTCAAAGGGTCGTGATCGCTAACCGCGAAATCTGTTTACCCAATTGGTAAAATATGCGGGGATGAACGGGTCTGCACATCCAGGCAACATCGATATCGCAGGGGTGTTTCAGGGTTCAGAAGAGGAGAATTCCAGGTATTTGCTCACTTTCCATTCGAGGCTTGGTTGAACATCGATGTGACTGATCTGCTGTTTCCTGACACATAATGCTTTGGAAAGGTTTTTGCTTCCAATTAACGCAAAACAGAGAGGCTTGGGTGCTATCATGTTACAAACAATACGTACAGTATGGTAGTCATTATTGAAATGGGTAATAGGGGAGTCAAAACAAGTCAAAAAGTTCATATGATCCATGGTCCAAAAGTCCATAGGTTTTTGTCTAAATAGCTTTATAGTTTACAACTTCAAGTACTTTATATCGAGCATAATCACCACAATCTTACTAATTTTTATAATCTAGTCTAAAACGTTTTGTAATTGGGTAATTAACAAATATGATATTTTTGGTAACATAATGACTATATTTAAAGCATGCTGGGTCAACAATGTCAACGTTTTATCATTGTTTTTGTTTACCTTTGTTAAAATGTTATCTCTTAGTTTTTGTGAAGAAAGCAGTTTCTGAGAGCTGAGTAGTACAAGTATTTTTAGTTATTGCCCTTTCGTTTACTACTGTTAAGCATAACAAAATGCCTTGAGTTTGAAGACGTCCAAATTATCATGTTAGCGACTTTGACAGGGGTAGAATTATTGCCTATCGAGATGTTGGTTTGTCCTATAGCGAAATTGGCCACCGTGTTAATTGTACGAGTACTGCAATGACGGTAACGCGTGTATCCTGTGTGGATAGAAGAAGGTAGAGGAACACGAAGACGGCCACAGCTAATCCCTGAAGTTCGAGTTGCTTGGAATGAGGTGCCATAACCAGATCTCATTTTCTCGATGCCAAGACGTATACAGGAGTGTATTCAGTTGCGGGGTCGCCCAACATATTATTCATTATGTTTTTCTTACTACTTGTCAATAAAACTTCGTGAGAACGTTATCGTTCGATTCTTGATGTAAGACTACCCCATTGCCAAAGAATCAAGTTGAAGAAACTATTTTTTCTAATGTTACTGAGTAGACATGTAACTAATAATTTGTATCACAAAAATCTTTAGAATGAAATGGTGTGGGTCCAGTTTTTAATCTTAATATTTAATTGACGTTTGAATATGGAAAATAATATAATAGTAATGCCCTCATCTGAAAGCCGTGCAAGCCCGACTCTTCTTGATTCCTTCTTGGATCTTTGCGGTATATTTCGAGTGAATCATTCCAAGCCTTATTATTTATCAACTCTCACAGAAGCAAGTCTGACAATGTATGAGACCTTACTGGGGGATCAAATGCCTTGAAAACACTATCAGGCAACCAGCATGGTCTTATTCCAGGAAGATCATGTTACACTGCCTTGACGACTGGACTAGATGTTTGTACCGAAATAAACCTGTCGACGCAATCTATCTAGATTTTTTCAGTGCGCCGAATTGCATTCCACATAAAAGAATGTTACACAACACGAGCATCTTAGAGTCAGTGGTGGTTTGTCTTCATTAATTGAATCTTTTTTTTTAGGAAGAATATTCTTCGTTTGTATTGGAGACAGCTACTCTACGAGTACTAGTCATCTTGCTTGCAGTGAAGTTCCACCAGGGTATGCGGTATATTTTATACCTAAGCGATCTCCCTATTCAACCTTCATCTATGTACTCCACCTATGGCAGATCACACCAAAGTCTTCAAGCAGATCTCAGAATCATTAGTGGGCAAGTTGGCCCATTAATAACGTCTTCTGTATTAAGACGTAGAGTCGATGAACCTATAATGGGCGGTACCAAATCAATGGGGTTTTTGTCCTTCAATTCTCTTATCTAGCTGATAGTACAGAAACTTTCATAGTTTAATATAAAAGGTAGCGGTACATTGTACTCACCAGTGACGATAATCTCAGGTCCCTTGAGAAACTTAGGGTCCGCTGGCTCTCCATTGATCATCCAATTCAGTTGAGCAGCAGGTTTTGACCTGCCTGATGTGCAGTTGACCTTCACAGTGTCTCCCACCTGGTACCTGGGTTTTCCGCCAGTTATTTTGGGACCCTCTTCTGGTAGAGCTGGAAAAAAGTCGTTGTTTAGTGGAATCAAGATGGGACATTAAGATAAAAATGGATTGACATGGATTTATTATCGGCATGTTTAGAATTCCGATACGATTTTTCATCTGTCGTCCTCAGACATCAACTTTATTTTTTGTTATAGAGGCCATATTGGATTTGTGTACAAGTATGTGAAAATGTACAAAATGTCATACATTGCCAGTGTCAAACCTAAATTATTCCAAGAAACTAATATTACTATAGTTGGCTTTGAAAATGACAGCTCCTCACATGTTTATCCGATTAAATTACCAATGCTTCAGCTCTTGACAAGAATATTTACTGGACATTCAGATAACTTGTCCAGTCACCTACTATAAGAGGCCTTATTTTAGCACCACAAAGACTACATGGCTTCTCATAGATTAATAGTATCAGAATACAAGGTGTGTGCATCGATTTAGACGTGACAGATATAAAAGGTGTTCAGGGAAACGCAACATCATCAAGGCTTTCATTTACTCCAAAATGTTTCCATCAATTGCATAAAATAGTATTGTTTTCAATAAGACGCTTAGGTATTACTAAAAGTTTTAGCAGTTCTTTATTCGATGACATAACATCAACTGAGGAGCATCCATGCGAAATATACTAAGTGACATATAAGTCCGAACATCCAGTTTAAATGGTTTTATTTTAATAAAATTTTGTATAAGTACTTAATGAAGCATAATAAGTAAATGATAAAAATTTCAAAATGATTGCACTGCTTTAAAGCCCTTTGACCTTTAATAATGTGTGGATGCACCCTGATGTGCTACGCATTCTCCAACGCACCTAGGCATGCTTCTGATCAGGTGGTCAATGTCCTCCTGTGGTATCTCATTCCAGGCAACGACCAACTCCTCTCGAAGTGCTTCTAGAGTCTTAGGAGGACGTTGCAAATTGAGCAATCTCCTACCCATCATATCCCACACGTGCTCAATTGGGGATAAGTCGGGAGATCTTGGTGGCCATGGTAACAATGTGACGTCATTATGTTGAAAGAAGTCTATTGTGACTCTTGCAACATGTGGTCGGGCATTATCTTGTTGGAAAGTTGGATCTGCCAGGGTGTCAAGATAGGGTAAAAGATGGGGTTCTAGAACTACGTGGATATAACGCTGCGAGTTCATGTTAGCTCTGATGAAGATTAAAGGTGACTTGGAACCATAAGCTATAGCACCCCAAACCATAACTCCAACAGTGTGATGAACATGTCTTTCAACAAAAAACTGTGGATTCCTCCTTTCACCACGTCGCCTTCTAACCCTGGCACGACCATCGTGCATGCCTAAACAAAATCGAGACTCGTCACTAAAGACAATACTGTTCCATTCCTGATCCCAGAGTGACTGTTGTCTGCACCACTCAAGGCGATTACGTCGGTGTTCTCGAGTTAAAGGGAGGACCCAGTGTGGCCGGTATGAAAACAAGCCAAAACTTCTCATTCGTCGGTAAACACTTCGCATGCTAACAGGTCTTCCGTGTTCTGCAAATCATTCATTTGCAATGGACCTGGTAGTGGCCAATAATCTTAGGCGGCGATCTTCACGGTCTGTTGTTCTACGGCGGCGTCCAGTGCCCCTTGCTCTTTGCGTACGGCCTTCTCGAAGCCATGCCTGACAACACCTAACTACACTGTCTACACTTCTTTGCACTCTAACTGCAATTGCCCGAAAAGAAAGTCCAGCTTCCCGAAGTCCCACTATACGGCCCCTATCAAACTCACTAAGTTGACGAAATCGTACAGGTCTCCGTACTCTAGGCATCGTAACCGATCGTGAAGGATGTCAAGAACCAAAATCCGCCAACGTTGATTCTTTACTGCGGCTGAAATATTCATTTTTAGAGCGTTAGTGAATTGAAAAAAAGCAGTATAAAAACCGGAATGTCCAACTGATAAGGCTGAACATGTTTTCACTTGTTACGAGTATTTACAGTAAGATAAATACATTCACCAACTTTTATTAAAATAAAACCATTTAAACTGGGTGTTCGGATTTATATGTCACTTAGTATAGTACATGACCACATTGAGTCTAAGTTGGGTAAGATACGGAATCTGGTGTGAAATCTTGAATAGAGTCTATCTTCAAGTCAGAATTGCTTTGAATGCAACTTGTCCCATAATAAATAAATCATGAGTGTCAGGAGTCCTGACAAATCTAGACATGGCACTAGCCTGAGTCTACAAAATTGATCAAATCTAGTGATGCCCCCGTAGTAATTGGGTAAGGTTTTTCAAAACGAACTACTCGTATGTCCACATAATATAATTTTCTGCAGTGAAGGCTATTAAGATTTCTTTTAGTGATAAAATGCAATGTTTATGTTTAATGATGATTAGTGAAAAAATCAAATAATTTTGTGGTGTAGTTTAGCTACTATAAACATTGGTGTGAGAAGGTATAACAATAAAAATGCAAATACAATATACATAGAGTGCAAAGTGGATGTTCCTGTAGGAACAATAGAAGTAGGATCCAGGAAAAGAAAGGACTTTTTGTCAATGCTCTCTATTTTTGTAGAAACAAAGATACAGATCCTGACTGACATTGTTTGAAAACTCTATTAACAAGATTAACCGGATGAAATAGTGCAAGACCAAAAACTGACGCACCCGATGCCTGTCTATCCTGTTCAAAAAGAAAACAACGACGAAAGTAATCTACAGACGTATGCAATTAAATACCTAATCGATTTCATGTTCACTATTACTTCCGCAAAAAAATATAATACGTGATTGTAAAAAAATCTTATGACTAGTCTAGGTATATCTAGCGCCAAGATTGGTATTGGCAAAAGCTATGAGCAAAGGTGAGAATTTTCAAGTGGAATATAGAGAAAAACTAAAGTTAAGGAATATATTGCTTCATTGCCAGCATCAGAAAGTCATTATAACCATAGAAAGTCATCTCGTATCTAGGTAAGTAGTAGCTTATGGTGGATCTTACACTATGGAACTATATTCAAGGAAGCTGTCTCACTACGGTGTGTGCTTAACGATTTTCTTGTCCCTCATGCCTTTTGGACATAAGGTATCCAAAACTAAGGTCTACTTGTCTGTATTTAGCGTTCCATACGCTATTTATCGCTTCTTGTACTTAACTTCTCAGCAACAGCGCATATACGAGCCCCTTCCCACTTCAGTTGGCCCACTTCAAGATTTGTACCAAAATATGCCTTTATAATCTAAACATGACGAAACTATTTACTTGTAAAACAATTTATTTTCTCAGAAACATTTTAGATACACTCTAGTCGTAAAAAATACATATTTGAAGTCACTTATACCTATAACTAATAGAACATCTGAACAAATAAACAATGTGCGAATAAATGCGCGAAGTTAACAAAGCAACAATTGAAAGATTACCATTGGGTAACATCACCTTTATTTTTTATTACGGCTGAAATTCCTTGGGGCATAGTGTTAACCAAGTTTTGGCAAACATTTGGTGTAAAACAATCCCATATTTCTTGAACCTTTTGTCTCAGTTCGGTGATTGTACGAGCAGGATGTTGTCGTAGAACCTTTTTCATCTCGTGCCACAAAGTTTCAATAGGTGACACATCTGGACTACTAGAAACCCATTTCAAAAGTGGTACACTATTTTCTTCCATCCATTTTATAGCCTTTTTTTGAGGTATGACACGCTGCACCATCTTGCTGAAACACAAAATCTTGGCCAGATGTCAAACATTCTTCCATCACTGGTAAAAGCGATTCTTCTAAAATTGCCAAATATTTGTCTGTATCCACATTTCCACCAATAAAATGAAGTTTTCCTACTCCTTTTGATGACATACTGCCCCAGACCATAATGGATGCTGGAAATTTCACTTTTCTCTTCAGACAGTCAACATGGAATGCTTCATTTTTTTGCGAATAACTCTACTGCAACTGTCACCAACAAACTTCGAATCGGGCCTCATCACTCCATTGTTGAGGTGTCCATTGTTTATGTTCTTTAGCCAATCTAAGCCGATTTTTCATTAGTAGTGCAGTTAATAGTGGCATTTCTTTGGCCTATAAACAAGTTGTGCAGCTTTAGGGTTTTTGCTTAACTTTTTTTATATAAGAAAACTTACCTTGCAAGTGCTAAATCCCAGTTTGTGAGCCTCTCTATGAGCTGTGGACCTCGAAATTCTCCTTCCAACAGCGTCACTCCACAGTGCGCTTAATTGTAAATAATTGGCACGCCTGTTTTTCATGATTATTCTTCTTAGTGCTCTTCGGTCGGCATTTGTGATATTCCTTTTTTTCACATATCGTGGCTTAATATTAACTGAACCAGTCACGTTATATCTTCTAACAATATTTCACACACTGTACCGCGATAAGTCTAACAAGGTTGCTATTTCTGAGTTTGATTTCCCAGAATTAAAAAATTTAGTTATCAGTAACCGAATTTTCTCACTAATAACCTTTCCTATACCCATTTTGAAAACCTTAACTACGCAAAACTATTTTAAACGTATTCTGACAGCTGTGATTAATAAAAACAATTATCAGGGCTTTTATTTTTCACAGCCACCTATGCGTTATAGACTTATTTTGCATTGAAATGAAAATAGGTTGATATGCTGTAATTTTTATGCTGCAAATTTGATTAGGGAGTGATTGGTGTTTTCTACTATATATTATCAAAATATTCATTGTTAATATTTTAAACCTATAACACCCTGCTACATTTTTATTATTTGTGTTTAATAAGAAAACAACTAAGATTTCAATAGTTGGGCCAACTGAAGTGGGAAGAGGCTCGTAGTCTTTTCTATCTTCTCTGACTATAGTAGATAACCATTTGTTATAGGCTCTTTTATCTTCATTAACCACATTTTTCTATTCTGTATGTCACTTCCAGCTTTTATTTCTAGTTCTAGTCACCGGCTTCCCATCAATAGCTTCTCTAGCTGCTTCATGTACGCAGTGAACAACAACAACATAATCCACTTCATATATGGAAGTTTTGCCACTTTTATATCGTCTGTTGATATACAGCAAGTCTATTGGATGGTCCTTTAGACTGTCTAAATTTAATTTGAAGGGAATTACATCTTCATAATAGTCATTCAGTGTCTGACGTCTTAATTTTGAGTTCCTTGAAGTAACTTAAGCAAATAAAG